CTAGAAGGGCGCTTTGGCTGAGATCCTGGGGGGCAGACCTGTCATCCAAGAATAATTTATGCTCACTTCCCTTTATGGGAGAAGTGCTTTTTGGGAAACCTCTGGATGAAGCGATTAAAAAGGCAGCCAAGGTTAAACAGGTCATGCTGCCACAAGATAGGCGTCCAAAGAGACCTCGTCTGGACCGTAGACCTTTTAGGGATCAAGGCTATGTAACGGATCGCCTGGCACCCCGACTGGGTACCTCCGTTAAAGGATGCTCCTAGCGCTTCCTGAGGACTCCAAGCACTGCAGCAGACACCACAACCACCGAACTGGAGAAGCATATGAATCCTCTCAAGCATATGAATGCTGTAGACAGTTGAATAGGAACCATACGAATAGGTTTACTCTCCTAGCAGTCAAACTGGAACAGCATACAATAAATCCTTCCCCCAATAATGAGACGACACTTCACTTTGAGGGTTAAAACAGGAACTCCCTGTACTGTCACATACAGTCTCTTTTATTCCCAATCCACAAACATAGTACAGCCCACAGGGCGTTACAAAACAACCAATCAATCCGTACAATACACCCAGACACTCCCACACAAAATCCTCCCCTCTGCCTGTGATATGATTACTGAACACAATGGGTAATCTCATTATCACCGGACAGAGGAATACAGTTTTTACACAATATTTATAACTTCTAAAATATACATGTCACAAACATAAAACATACATTTTCATAATCAATCCATTCAGGGGAACAACATATTAAAAAATGGCACGAATCAGACCAGGGGTTCAAAAGTTAAGGGAAAGTCCTTTGTGACTAAATGAAGCATGGCTTTCTGGCCCAAACCAGTTTCAGAGTCTTCTATCCTGGAGAGTAATTCAATTATCTCCCAGGACAGACACAAGACTCCATTAAGCACATGGTTGCAAAAAGACACAAAACACTTTAAAATACATAAAGTCACCTTTTATACATAAAACACAGACATGTCACATATCCCCAGATAGCTGGGATCTGAGCGCACAAAACTACCGAATAGCGCTCAGATCCTATTCACACAGTTCAATTGCCATGGAGCCGAAGTCTTTAACTACACGAATGGGCTCCATGGCATAGCTATCTGGGTTAACACATTCACATAAAGTCTGGTCCATAGTCCAAAGGCAAGAGGCGGGCAAGCAGCCCCCTCCAAGGACACGTGGCGAGGCCGGTTTCGCCACAGGCTACTTTAGGGAAAGTAAGACTTACAGGCCAGGTAGAGAATTCTCAAGGAATTCCAATTGGAAGAGCGGCCTGAATGGAAAATCCTCTAGGGGCAAGACGCAGACCTCTTCCTTTCGCCCCAACAAGCAATTCTGAAGGTGGCTTACTCCAGGTTCCTCTAGTGGGAGCACGTCTTTCATTCTTTCAGAGGGCCTGGGAAATAATTCCAGATGCTTGGGTAAGATCCATTATCACCGGAGGTGATAATCTGGAATTCGACGAATATCCACCTCCACCAAGGTTTATTCGCACAAGGCTTCCAGCCAACATCCAAAAACGAGAGGTTTTGACTCTTTATGTCAACAATCTTCTTATGGAAGAAGCCATCATACCTGTACCCATAAGAGAAAGATTCCAGGGATATTATTCTCCCCTGTTTTTGGTCAAGAAGCCAGAGGGAAAATGGAGGCCTATTTTAGATCTCCACCAGCTCAACCTTTATCTGAGAGTCAGAAAATTTTGCATGGAATCCATTCGCTCCATCATTCCGGTTGTTCATCACCGAGATTGGATGATATCAGTAGATCTCAGGGATGCATATTTTCATGTCCCTATCACGATCACCCATCAAAGGTTTCTCAGGTTTTGTGTCCGGAAGGAACACTTTCAATTTCAGGCCCTTCCTTTTGGTATAAGTACGGCCCCGAGGACCTTCTCGAAGGTTCTGGTCACCATCATTGCTTTGCTCAGAAAAGAAGGTGTAGCGGTGTTTCACTACCTGGACGACATCCTGGTAGTGGCCCCAGACCTAGCATCAATATTCCAACACAGACAACTAGTCCTCAACACTCTATCTCATTTCGGTTGGCTCATCAATTACGAGAAGAGTCACTTGCATCCTTCAAGAGAACTGATATTCCTGGGAGCAAATTTCAATACAGACACGGCAATTGTATCCCTCTCACACGACAGAAAGAGCATACTTCAAGATCCCTGCAGATTTTTTCCTTTGTGGTATCTGATTGAATATACATTACACTATACTGTACCGGTTATTATAACTCTGAGTGTAGATACCGCTTCATTATTATACTCTGAGGATATCCACATTGCATCTACCCAGTTCTTATCTCACGTGTTTTTTCACGAGTGTTTCACTATTATTACACTTTATTATTATTTTTTGTTCTGCCCTAAGACGGCTAAATAAAGGTTATACCTAATAATTATCTTTTTGTATTTTAATTTGAGATATCATTTGGTGAAGTGGATGTCCATATTTTTCCATCTCTAGTGGAACAACCACTTCACTCTAGTCTTTTCCCTTTAAACTACTTTGTGGGGTTATGCCCCTTGATATCTCTGTAACCCTCTGGAAACTATTGATGTGGACTTAGTCCACCTCTAATTTCTTCCTCTCTTGTTCTATACTTCGAGATCGGATAAGGGACTTCAGACTGAAGACTTCAGCCTCGGCAAGAGAGTTTATGAGACTTCTGGGGACTCTTTCCTCTACAATAGAACTTGTCAGGTGGGCTCAGTGGAACCTTCGCCCTCTTCAACAATTTTTTCTAAAAAATTTCAGGACCGACTCGAGGGAGTGGGAGACGCTGATTCGCATTCCTTTGGTTCTGAAGCGGAAACTCCTTTGGTGGATGTCGTGGGAAAATCTCTCCAGAGGGTTCCCCTTGCGGGAAATAGATTGGGTGGTCATTACGACAGATGCCAGTCTGACAGGTTGGGGGGCACATTTAGGCAATCAATTTTTTCAAGCAAAATGGCCTCCAAGAACCCAATGCTTGCCTTCCAACATCAGGGAGCTAAGAGCAACCTTTCTGGCGCTTCTTCATTTTCAGCATCTCATCAGGCATTGCTGGGTCAAGTTGAGAGTGGTCAACAAAGTGGCTGCTGCCTACATAAACCATCAAGGCGGAACAAGGAGTGTAGCCCTGATGAAAGAGATGTTTCCCATTATGACCTGGGCTCAGAATCATGTGGAAGGCCTGTGTGCCATCTATCTCCCAGGGAAGGAGAATGTATTAGCGGATTTCCTCAGCAGACATCGGATAGAGGCTTCAGAATGGCAACTTTCCAGGAGGATCTTCGCTCGGTTGGTCCAGAAGTGGGGTCTTCCCCAAGTAGACCTCATGGCGACCATTCGGAATGCGCAGGTTCCATGCTTTGTGTCGAGGAGATACCATCCAAAGGCGGTTGCTCAGGATGCTCTATCCATCAATTGGGTATTCGATCTGGCTTACGTTTTTCCTCCAATTCCCCTCATCCACGCTGTTCTGAGAAAGATCTCCAAGGAACATTGCAAGGTGATAGCTGTACTTCCATTCTGGCCTCGTCGCCCTTGGTTTCCCCTGTTACAGAGGTTATCAATGGACCTGCCTTGGGAACTTCCAGTCTTGGAAGACCTGCTGATTCAGGGTCCAGTGTTTCATCCGGAGCCTCACAAATTCAGGCTCCATGCATGGCTATTGAGAGGAAGTCTCTAGTTGAACATGGCCTTTCGGACCAGGTTATCTCTACCCTGTTACGTTCCAGGAATCCTTCTACTTCTTCTACTTACCATAAGGTATGGGAAGCCTTTGCTCGATGGTGTAATTCCACGGTTCAAGATTTAGGTTCCCCTTCCGTATCTCAGGTTTTGGGTTTCCTGCAAGCAGGCCTGGAGAGGGGCCTTCAACTTAACACGCTTAAAGTGCACTGCTCTGCTCTTTCAGCTCTTTCCGGTGTTCGTTGGGTATTGAATCCTATTGTAATTTGCTTCTTCAAAGCAGTCATTAGGATTAGACCTCCTATCAAGGTATTTTCTTCTCCCTGGAATTTGCCTCTGGTTCTGCAGGCCTTGACGGAACATCCCTTCGAACCTATTGATGAGGTCCCTATGCAGGTTCTTTCTCTAGAGACCCTGTTGTTACTGGCCTTGGTATCTGCTAGGAGAATGTCTGATATTAGAGCGCTGTCGTCGGAAGAACCGTTCACTACCTTCTTCGATGATAGAGTTGTGCTACGGCCCAGACCTGAGTTCCTTCCTAAGGTTGTTACATCCTTCCATCAGAATCAAGAGATTGTCCTGCCAGGGTATTTTCAGGAGCCATCGTCTCCTGAGGAAGAAAGATGTCATACGCTAGACCTAAGGAGGTGTCTTTCCACATATATTTCACGCTCAGCTAATTGGAGAAAGTCTCCCCAATTGTTTGTGATACCTTGGGGTTCTCGTAAAGGTGAAGCTGCCTCTGTCGCAACCCTTCGTTCTTGGACTGTTCAGGCTATTTCTAAAGCTTACAGAGCTAAACGGATTCCAGTTCCCAAGGACATCAAGGCACATTCCACGAGGTCCATTGCTACTTCATGGGCTGCAGAGTCAGGAGTTCCTGCAGAGAGCATCTGTAAAGCTGCCAATTGGTCATCTTTAAAAACCTTTGTACACCACTACAGAGTGGATATCTCATCTCGTTCTGATTCAGAGTTTGGCCTATCGGTCCTGAACTCTTATAAGCCTTAAGTGGATATTAAACAGTTTTTGTAGCATGACTTACCCTCCCTGAGTGGTTATTGCTTTGGGAATCCCATATGTTGAATGCTGCCATGATTAGCCAGGAATAGAGAAAATGTATTGATACTTACCGTAATTTTCTTTTCCTGGCTATTATTCATGGCAGCATTTGGTCTCCCACCCTTTCTTGGTTAATTTGTCTTGTTACTGGACTGAGGTGTGGGGGATACTGGGGTACCTAATATACTAGGGGAAGGTAGGCTTAATTGTTTAATTGATTGTGTTTCCTGTCCTGAGGGTTGGAGGGAGGAGCTAAACCCATATGTTGAATGCTGCCATGAATAATAGCCAGGAAAAGAAAATTACAGTAAGTATCAATACATTTTCTCTATTATTTGTGGGGAAAAAGTTAGAGGGAGTGTGTTTCTTTCTTCTTTGGTAAAATTATTAGTTAATATTGATTTAAAGTTTTTGGCTCCTCTAAATATTATATTTGGACGTTTTGGTATAATTTTGTTAAGAGTTTCATCCTGTTGTAGAATATGCCAATGTTTTTTTATAATTTTTTTAACATCATTGCTTTTATTGTTAAAGTTAAAGATGATAGGTAAGAGCATAGATTCATCTTTGCTTTTGGGTTTATATTGTAAAAGTTCATTTCTGTCTTTGTCTTGAATATCCCTAATGGTATTATCAAGTTCCATTTCTGAATAGTTTTTCTCAACAAATTTATCTTTTAGTATCTTGGCTTGTATATTAAAGTCACTTAGTTCCGAGCAATTTCTCCGTAGTCGTAGTATTTGACTCTTTGGAGCGCTGTCTAACCAAGGTTGGTAGTGGCAGCTACTCTTATCTATGGCAGTATTCACACACACTTTTTTGAAAAACGTTTTGGTGTGTAATTTACAATTTTTTATAAAAATATCAAGATCTAAAAAATGTATTTGTTCCCTACTATATTCATAGGTGAGGATTATACCTCTATTATTTGTGTTGAGATTGGTAATAAAAGAGTTAAGATCATCCTCGGAACCTTCCCAAATAAAAAAAAGATCATCAATATATCTAAAAAATGAAACTGGTTTGCTCTCCAGGCATGCTCACTAAAAACAGCTTCAGATTCCCAGTCGGCCATAAATAGATTTGCATAGCTGGGAACAAACCTAGTTCCCATGACTGTTCCTCTTTTTTGGAGATAAAAAGAATTTAAAAACCAAAAATAATTATTCTTTAAAATAATGTTAATACCGTCTAAAATAAAATCAATTTGTGCATCAGGGATTCTTCCTTCTCTGGTTAGGATATCTCTTACAGCTTGACAGCCTATGTCATGAGGTATAATAGTATATAGTGACTGGACGTCACATGTCACCAGTATAAAATTAGATTTCCATGTAAAATCATTTAAAAACTTTAAAAGAGCCATGGAATCTTGAAGATAATATCTCATGCATTTTACTGAAGGCTGTAAGAGAATATCTATATATTGCGAAAGATTACAAAGGAGAGAGCCTATACCAGACACAATTGGCCTCCCTGGTGGGGAGGTGTCATTTTTGTGAATCTTAGGGAGGAAATATATAACAGGGGTCACAGGAAATTTTATATTTAAAAAATTAAATTCGTGTTTGTTTAAAATACCTAAAGTTACGCCTTTATTTAAAAATTGAGTTAGGATTGTTTGTATGTGTTTAATTGGGTCTGATGGAAGTTTGTCATACACAGTTGAATCATTTAATTGTCTGTGTGCCTCTTCTATATACATTTGGCTTGATTGGATAACTATTCCTCCTCCTTTATCGGCTGGCTTGATGACAATACTTGCGTCATTCCTTTAATGCTAGTTTCTCTATGTGCGTAAGGTTCTGAGGATCATATTTTGTATTTTTAATTTTTTCTAAATCTTTTATAACCAGTTTTTCAAACATAGTGACAGGGGCAGATTTAAAATGAGCAGGATAAAAAACAGATTTCTCTCTAAGGTGTGTATTGATTATATGGTTATTTTGAGAGCGTGATGGAGGAGATAAAATAAGGATCTTAATTTGATTAAGATTGTCCTCATTTTTTTCTATAAAAAAATCTTTTGAGGGTGGCTTTCCGAACGAATTTGTTGACATCTATAAAAACTTTGAACGGTTTAAAAGTATTAGTAGGGGCAAATTTAAGACCTTTAGTTAAAACTGCTATTTGTGCACTTGTTAAAGTTTTCTGTGAAAGGTTAAAAATGCCATTACTATTACTGATAGGAGGAGTTATTATCTTTCTAGTCTTTCTCTTTTGTTCGCGTCTCCCACTTCTTCTTCCTCTAAATTTAGAATCCTTTTTCTTGATTGTGAAGGGTGTGGTGTTTGAGCTAGTGCCGTTTGGTGTGTTCGGATTTCTAAAAAATGGTCCTCATTTTCGAATTCCGAGTCTACTGACAATAGTTGATATCTGTTGGAATTGTGGGGAATCGTGGGTGACTTAAAGTAATTGGAATGTTCTTTGTGGTCATTAATATATTTCGATCTTTGCGGTTTTGGGAGACAGGTGTTTATATTGGGGTTTTAATGTATTGTGATATATTAGTGATGGTGTGATTTTGTGATGGGTTCGATACGAATTGTGTCGGTTGCGTTGAGGGAATGGACGGTATTGAATGGTATTGGAGTGGTGAAATCGTTGTGGGGGATCTCGATGGTAATTAGTTTGTGCTCTATATGTGTGTGTGTTTGATGGTGAATAAGAGGGTTTCCTTATATTTTGATAATTGTGCGGCTGGTATTTTACCTCATGAGTTTCATAGTGTTTGGTTTCACGGTGAGTGTTAGTTCTTCCATAGTTATTTTTTTGGATTGGATGTTGTGAAGTGTATTTTTTATTCAGGTGATATCTTGTTTATCTTGTTTTAATTATCTGACTCCACCTGCAGAATGGAGTATTATAACTACATATTCTTTAGTTAACTAAGATTTCTCAATTATTGAAATCTGACCGTGATTTATCCAGTCATATATCATGCTATTAGTAAATTTTGTATTAATTTAAATTAATTAAATAAAACCAGCATAATTACCAGTTATGTAGATGTTTTCATCAGATGAGTAGGTGGTCCCAGGAACTTGAATGTGAGTATGATTGGTTGTATGGAGGTGTGTAAGTAATAGAGAAAAGTGATGTTAATTAGAAAGTAAGAGTAAAATTCTAAGTGTCAAGGAGTGTTTCTTGAGTTGTGTCCAAGAGAGTTTGAGAGTTGATGTTAGTCCCAGAGTGTCCTGAATATCTGTCCTGGATCTCTCTGAATGTCTGAATCTGAAAGCCCAAACTACCTTCTCTCTTCCCTTTGTCCTAACTTTTAAAGGGCCAGACTCTCTGTACGTCATTAGTTGATAAGCCAATAGGAAACCGTAGGTGTGTTCAATCTATGGATCGCAATTTGGGTATTTGATCCATAGAGGGCAGTCTTGTCTAACTAATCCTTCTTATCCAGGAAAGAGTTAACTTTTCCTGATGATAATTTTGATGTCATTTGGCTTATCTAAAATGACTACCATAACTTAGATTTGCTGTCAGTTCAAAGCTTTTGTCTCAGTCTTTGTGGCAACTACTTTGATCGTAATTTGTAAAGTTGACAGTTCTAAACTCAATTTCACCCCTTACTTACAATGGGACCTTGTAAGATTTAGAAAGTAAAATTAATTACTGAGTCTTCTCTGTCACTAGTGTCTGTGTTTAAAATTATTTCTATTCCATTAACATTTAAACAGAGCATTCCACCCCCCTGCTTCATTGCTTATCACTTGGCTTGTTTACATAATGCATTCCTTAGCTCAGGCTAGTGGCTAGTTACAGAAAGGAAAGAAATTTTGTGTCTGTCTTGCCTGAAACCCAAAATGGAGTCCGCTCTGTTCTGAGTGACTCTGGCAATATACACTTTTAATTTCTATCTTAGCACAAAATGTCTGCCGATATAAATATCCTGACATTCCAACAAGGTCACAATATGTCCATAAAGGGGAAAAAAAAGGGAAACTACTTTCACAGAAGAGCAGAGGCAAAGGAAAAAGGCGGTGAGGATTTGTTGATCTGGACAGCTTGGCCTGAAATAATTGGGGCTTATTTTTAACCATTGTATCACTGTGTGTGTATATATATATATATATATATATATATATATATATATATATATATATATATATATGAGTTTAATCATCACCCATTCTAACACTGAATGCACAATAGTTTCAATATTAACTTTAATATCATTGTAATACAATAATCTGAATAGAAATCTATTAGACATGTATAGGAAGAGAAAATTGGTTAGTTTTAAGTTTCATTGTGGTACTTAAGTTCAGTCAAAATTTTGTAATTATAAATTTAGATGACCCGAAATTTGTCTGAAAGATTCTGAAATGTTTGGAAATGCTGATGTTCATTGTTCCCTATTGGGTGCGGTGACAATATAGCCCTGGTGTCTCTGTTATCGAAGGTGCAACAGTTCAGGCACTCTATCGTCATCAGGTATTATTTTTATTTTATTTTTTTAAAACCTGCACAACTAACTTGCTCCACTAATTGCTAGGACTAATATTTGGTAGCATATGCAAGATATACTGCTCTGGTGCCTGGTTACTGTATGATATTTTAGTCCTTGTGGGATATATGATGGTACAAAGAGTTTGACTACAGGGCAAGGAGGACTAGAAGAGCGTCAGGGTTATTTCCTAATCTGTGAATATTTGTATATCTAGGCTAAAAGTTTTGATAATAGCTTGCTTAAAAGGACTCTCCAGTGCCAGAAAAACATATCCATTTTCCTGGCACTGCAGGACCCTAAATGTCCCCTCTCCCTCTCAACCCCCATCCCATGATGCTGACGGTTAAAACCCCTTCAGTGATTTACCTGAATCCCGCCGACGACGGAGACCTAATGCGTAATGCGCGCGCCTTAGACCTCCCTACAGGAAAACATTATTCATTGCTTTCCTATGGTGATTCCAGCAACGCTGGAGGTCCTCATGCATGGCGTGAGGACATCCAGCGTAGTTTAAAACCCTTTTCGTGTTCTAAGAACACAGAACTCCCTCTAGTGGCTGTCTGATATACAGCCACTAGAGGTGGAGTTAACCCTGCAAGGTAATTATTGCAGTTTATAAACACTGCAATAATTACACTTGCAGGGTTAAGGATGGTGGGAGTTGGCACCCAGACCACTCCAATGCGCAGAAGTGGTCTGGGTGCCTACAGTGTCCATTTAAGCAAGTTGATTAAAGCAGGAGTTGTGCAGAATAAATTCAGGATACAAATGAAAGGCAGGATTATATGGAAGTACAATAAACTATCTTGATTAATGGCTGAGATTTCCCTTTGGAAGAAGATGACTGAAATTTTAAGCACAATAATCAAAGGACTTAGCTTGTTGGATAAGGGTGACGAATAGTCAGAGTGACGTCACACGCATGGGCGGGGCCCGATCAGCAAAACCTGCAAGTGACTCCGAGGGAGTTCGCAGATTGGTAATCATTACAGTGTGAGAGTATTTGTCTGTGCAATAGTGTTTGTATGTGTCTGTGTGTGAGAGTGTGACTGTCTTAGCTGGTACAAACCCACTGGACAGACTTTCCACAAAGGTAGGGCCAGTCATTGAACCATTCAGTAAAAACAAACAAAACAGTGGGGCAGCTGCTCAGATTTAGAAGTCAATAAAAAAAAAAAAATACACTCAAAACAATCTCTCACTCATACACTGTGTGAAAAAATGTATGTTAACTTCTGTGTGTGTCCATGCAAATGGGAGAGTGTGTGAGTGTCTGTGTGTGTATGTTTTTAATACTTTGCAATCTGAGTAGATTAAGTCTTTAATTTGGATAGCTGCTTCACTATGATTTTTATTCTGACCTCACTAGTTTACTGACTGAATCTGCCCTGGAATGATTCTGGTGCCTCCTTTCTGGATTCATTATTAGGGCAGCCAGAGCCACCTTTTGGTGTGATATTGTGTAAGATAGTGTCTAAGTGTGTGTTTCCATGTGAGCATGTATATTATTTAATACTTTTCTTTGGAGACTGGGAGCACTGTGCGTTTTATTCTAACCACATTATTTCACTGACTGCCTCCTTCCACGCCATGTCTGATCTCACCGCTACCCTGGGAGCAGTAATAAGAAATGGAGGAAGGCAGGTAGGACTGGAAATGACTGCAACAGGGTGAAAGGTGTTTCAGACTTCCTCTTGCACTTGTGCTCTAGAAACAAAAACTTCACACATCTCTGTATGTACAGAGTTTCAAGCAGAAATGCTGCACATACAGATTCCTACCACCATAACCACTTCTAAAAGCAGAAGTGGCCATGGTGGTTAGGGTAAAGCCACCCATCGGCTCTATACTATGTTTTGAATGATATATATGTCTATGTGCTACAACCATACCAGGGCCTTTGTCAAAAAAGAAGGGATTCATATTGAAAGAAGAGGATGAACAACTAATGCAACTAGTGCTTCGCTCTGGAGGCAAACACCCATTAACACCGTTTCCAGCAAACATGGTTTGTAATTATACTTCCTGATTCCAATATCAATACAACAGCAGCCATTTCATTTTCCAAACCTTGTTTAATCTGTACATAACATGTGGCCTACTAACCTATAGCTTATAACTTAGAAATGAGTATCTCGATTAAAGAATAAATAAAGCTAGCAAACGAAAACCTTTTATATAAAACTTCACACAATGAAAAGAGCATAAAACACATCCTACATCAGGTTTAACCATTTTAATATATCTGTTTTAACATCACAGATCTGTTATTATTAAAGTGACACTATAGTCACCCAGACCACTCCAGCTTAATGAAGTGGTCTGGGTGCCAGATCCGTCAGGTTTTAACCCTTCACATGTAAACATAGCTGTTTCAGAGAAACGGCTATGTTAAATTGCAGGGTTAATCCAGCCTGTAGTGGCTGTCTTCTGGACAGCCACTAGAGGCGCATCTGCGACGCTGGAGGCATATTTTGCATCCATCGTGCAGAGCGTCCATGGGAAAGCTGACGCCGACGGGGGAGGAGAGGTCACCAGCGCCGAGGGAGCCTGGCGCTGGATTAAGGTAAGCTGCTGAAGGGGGAACCTGAGGGTAGGGGCACCCTCAGGGCACTATAGTGTCAGGAAAACTGCTTTATTTTCATGACACGATAGTGATCCTTTAATGTACAGAGAACTCTCTCTATTAAACTACATTCATTGCAGACATCTGCCTCCTTACAGACAGTTTGCTAATTTTGAGTATTTTTCCTTTTTTATAACACAGGCTAAAGGAACACTCCATGCGCAATAACCATTACAGCACACTGTAGTGCTGTGGCGCCCAGAATTATAAGTAGTGAAACTATTCTAGAATGGTTTGACTTCTTACCTGGGGTCTGCCAGGTGGCCTCCCAGCCTCCACTACTTTTTTTTTTTTTTTTTTACAGAAAGCTAGAGGCTCTTAAGCAGGATCAGGGCTAGCAAAGCAGGACATGCTGGTGCTTGGCAGATAACAGGTAAGAAGAGTTTCCACCTGTGAAACAGGATCGTCTCCTCTAAACAGTCTGAGATGGTTTCCCTCCAAAGCAATTCATTCCTGCTCTATAGGGTGTACCAGGCTAAGCCATTTATCTCCATATTTCTCTGTGTAGAGCTTGTTTGTTGGTCTGCTGTAAGATAAACAAACCCCAAAACAAACATAACTATCAACGGAATAACTATTATTATGAATTGGCCAGTTGTTAATGCATACCCATAATTTTTATTAGAATTCCTTATTTTTCTCTCACGGCACAAGGATAGCAATACTTGGGGACCTTTACTGATGCTTAGTGTCATAACATCTTTAATAATTCAGTCTGCATCCTCGCTGTCTACATTTGGCAAAATTACAGTTCTGTCACTCAGCACAGGTACCAAATGCTCTTCAAGCCGCATGAAAATGAGAATATATTTATCTCTGCAATGTTCCTTATGTATCCACTGGTGAGAAGAATAATACATATTCAAATGTCAAATAAAAGATATTGCTTTTGCACCTACATGAATTCTCAGATGCCTATAAAGAGTAGTCTTACGTCCAAAACATTTGCCGCAAAGAGAACAGGAATAAGGTTTCTCCCCAGTGTGAATTCGAAGGTGATTAATAAGATCTGATTTTTGCGTGAAACATCTTGAACATTCATAACATGAAAAGGGTTTCTCCCCTGTATGAATCTGATAATGTTTAACAAGATTTGCTTTATTATTAAAGCATTTTCTGCAATAAGAACACTCAAAGGGCTTTTCTCCAGTGTGAGTCCTCTTATGTCTAACAAGGTGTGAATTGCTAATAAAATCTTTCCCGCATTCAGAGCAGAGAAATGGTTTCTCTCCTGTGTGTGTTCTCTTATGAAGAACAAAATGAGAATACTGTGTGAAACATTTGTCACAATCAGGGCAGGAAAAAGGTTTCTCCCCCGTGTGTGTTCTTTGATGTCTAAGAAGCTGAGATTTAAAGTGAAAACGTTTCCCACAATCTGAACACACTATCATCTTTCTTCTGTGAATAGTCTCATGTTGGATCAGATCCGAACTGTTAGTGAAGTATTCCTCACATTCGGAGCAACTGTAAGTCTTAGTGGTGCATGCTTTCTGAGGAGAGATATCATTTGTTTTGAGGCTAGAGGTTTTATTATGTTCTCTAATATAAGCTGAGACACGATGGTTATATTCTGTCAGATTCCCTTCTTCACATGAGGTTGAAGTTCCTTCTTCAATGTTGGGAGCCGTACATACGGTCTGCGCATGTTCTTTGATTAAATGAATGTCAGAATCTGTGAGATGTCCTTCTCCACATGAGGCTGATTCTTCCTTAATAGTACATGTATGTTCTGTCTGTCTTTGTTCTGTTGTTGTAGAAATGTCTGTGAGATTTCCTTCTTTACAGGAGGTTGATTCATCCTTAATATTTGATGGATATTCTGTCTGTGGATGTTCTGTGGGTGGAAGAATAATTGAGGATGAAAACTTCTCAATAGGAGACAATCTATCTTCTGTCTGTCTATGCGATGTGAATGTTGGAATGTTAGGGTTTTCTTGATGCTCTTCAACACACCATAATTTCCCCTTGTCATGGGTGGCAGTATTTGTGTCCTTTACAGAATCGACTGCTTGAAATGCCGCTGATACATTTTTGAATTCAGGTGAATCTGTTGGAAACAAGTGTTTTATGCATGAAAAACATAGTTATATCTGAAAGCATGTGCACAACATGAAATTGTGTATATTATATATAGACACATCAAGATTGGAACTTGTTCATTAAACTCCACAACTACGTAACATTTTACCGTAGATACGGTGTTCAGGGCAGATCAGGAAGTAGTGAAAAGTAAGCCTTACATCATAGCTTGTCGTATGTGATAATTATATAAACAACAAACCAATAAGTAAACTTCTCACATCAGGATCAATTTAACACAATCAAAAAGAGGCTCTGACAAGAACAATCAAGATACAAATCTCTCAGACTCAAGTGTAAAATAAGAGGTGTTGTTACTATATCTATAATTGGATTCAGAGTTAACAAGGAATTAAATGTTTGACCATCATAGTGCCACAGGTGGCACAAACTGCCATAAACACTGAAAATGGTCGAAGGAATGGTCGAACAGCCTGGTCACCCACACTGGGAGTGTGCAGCTCATTAACCGCCCAGAGCTGCGGTTAACCACAAATATTTGTCGAACGGCTGTGTTGTCGCCGTTTGTTTGAACGAACATGTGGCAGCAGCCATTTTAAATTGTCGAACGACCAGCGTTGTTTGGTCGTCAACCGCGAGGAACTATTTTCAGCCACAATTTCCCACGAACACCGCTGGGACCAGCTCACTTCCATCTCGTTCGCTTCTAATTATATGAACGCCGTGCTGTTCGGTATATTTAACCCACGAAAGAGACCGACCCCAGATGGCTCAATCCATGGAGCTATTGCTGGTCATATTTCACACGAACTGTTGGAGAACAGAACTCTTTAGCTCCATGGCGATTTGACTGTGTTCGTGTGATCTGAGCGCTGTTTGACTATATTGAGTGCTCAGACCCAAGCTATATGGGGATATGTCGAATGAGGGGGTTCCATTCAGGAAACATAAAGTTATACATTCTAATGCATTTATGTTACTATTGTAAAATAGAAATATTCTCTCTACCTGGAGATAATTAAGTTTGCTCAGGACACTTAACCCAATTATCTCCAGGCTAGAGAGGAAGGATTTTCCTGTTCATGTGGGAGTGTGTTATATTTTGCTGTAAATTGATTGGTCTCTGTATTTTTTGTCACAGTCTTCCACAAGTGGAAGTAACCCTTGTTGGATGACCTGCATAAAAGGCAGAGCTGTGGCCATCAATAAACAAATCGTTTTACTCCTTCATGAAGTCTTGGCTCATGCTTGGGGGATTGGGAGCTAGATTTCACAACACCTTCATATTTACTCGGATTTCGGGAGCCTGCCCACAGACTATGGACCATGTTGAAAAATAATGTAAAGGTCTCTGTTCGTGCAATTGGGATTATATGGTTCGTTTACCGAACAACCGCATGAACAGAGACCAGCCTGGAGCTTAACACTTATTTACTACTTGGAACGTTTTTCACAGCAGTGTTCCAATTGTTCATCTGGGTGGCCGCAATTCCTATGGACAACCACAAGGTGGTGGCCATCTTGTTCACAGGCAGCGGTGTTTGGGCATGAATCTCATGGAACTGAAATTGGATACAGAAACTCCCGAACACCACTGGACTTCCATCATCACCTGCGTTCAGTTTTATACAAGTTAGAAGTGCACTGTTCGGTGAGATCATTCGTCTGGATGAAGGGAACAAACTCCAGGTAAGACTATTGACTCTGTTTGGTAGTTTGTTCATTTTTAAACAACCGAACTAGACCGACCGCAAGCCCTGATTCTCTGGAACTGTTTGGGCCATAGGGCCATACTTGCGGTCAGTCAAATAAATGACTTCCAGGAAATTCCTGAACCGAACTGGGTGATTTTTGGATTTGTTGTTCACCCAGATCGGGACTATCAGGGGATGTAACTTTTATGGGGTTTTATGTGGTTTTAAGGTACTTTTTGGGGTTTCATAAAATTTTATGTTTTTCTGTGCTTGGAGATAATTGGGCTAAATTAGTACAGTTCCCGATTCAATTATCTCCCAAGCACAGAGGAGGGATTCTATGGTTTGTGTATGGGAGTGTTTCACTGTATGACTCCCTGTGCCCAACAAGGTCCACCTGGGTGTCACCCTTGTTGGGAAACTTGCATAAAAGCCCAGTGTGGCACCATTAAAATTCTATTCCAGCTTATACTCCAAAACTGTGTGTCGTCCTGCTATTGGAGGGAAAGAAGATTTACTTCTGTGTCTGCTGTTCCAGCTTGCAGGAGATTCAACAGGGAAAGTCCTTGTAAGGACTAGCACTCCCAGGACTGAGTTTCGTCCAGTGCCTGGGGGTGTCTAGCGCTAACTCCCCATTCGACTCCAGGAAGGAGCGGTTCCAGGGCCCCAGTCAAGCCATGGCGACTGTGGGCAGAAGTACTGCAGTTTGTCCCCTGTTCCAGCTAGGAACAGGGGTACAGGGAGCTCCGTTACAGGGCATTTGACGAAGTACCCTTCGCCACTTGGTCCTGGAGAGGCTTGCTTGCCAGCCTCCTCCCCTGTGACTATGGTCCTGGGGTGTATGGCCCTTTAAGCACATTTTTGGGACATGGGGAAAATTGGGACAATGCCCCTTTAAGACTGTGTCCCCACACGTGTTTGGGACTGCCCCTTTAAGCCTGTGTCCCCAGACTTGGTTAAAGTACTTTATTCATGGCTTATTTACACTTGGTTCAGTTAATGGGGCTTACTGAACCAAGTACCACACAGGCGGGCCACCCAGAAGTGGAAGTGTGCAGGCAATTTACCTCCCAGGCTGGGAGGCTGCTGTAGGTAAATTGCCGACCGCTGGGGGGCCGCCATTCGTGCAAACGAACATGTGGCGGCGGCCATCTTTGTTCATTCGAACGAGGTCAGTGGTATGTGTAGCCAAATCCATGGAACTGAAATCGGCTACACATTTCAACGAACACCGCTGACCTCTACCTTCTCCTGCACTTAGACACTGCGGCTGGAGACTAAGTCCCATTGGAAGAAAGCTCGTTCGAATGGGACTTTTTTCAGTGTAAAATAGACCGACTGCACAGCCTGTAGGATACGAATATCCATTTTGCTTAATATCCTAGCTGTTCATATAAGGGTTAATTTGAACCAAGAATAAATTTGGAATTGTATCTCCGATTCTCGGAAATAAAATGTATCTAAAATCCTATTTATGGGAAATTTTCTTGGACAATGATTTTGAGATGTTTTTGTTAATTGTCCAAGATTTCAGTATTTGTAAACATCTGTTTTTTTTATCCAATATGGATACGTTATATAACGCAGAATTATAACTAGAAACAGCTGTTCATAACTTGTGAAAAACAATGTCATTAATGCATGGCCCCTACCGACATGAAAACGGGGTATAAACATAGCTGACGTATGAATAAAATTTGAATTGGTTATTGAACACGTCTCTTGTCTTCTTGATTGATTCCCAGGATCCTGTCTATCAAAGAGGGTGTGGCTCCGACAAAATATCCATCTAACAAAGAGGGTTTCGTGTATAGCTGATTTTATACCAAACACAGCCCAAATCCATGGAACTGTTTTGGGCATGAAAAAGTGCCTGAGGTCGGTCATGAAGGACTTCCAGCTAACTTTTTAAGTACTGGACGGATTTGACTGAATTTTGGTTATGTTTATATTTATAGTATGCTAGTTCTGAAAATGTTTTTGTGACGATTGGATGTATATTTTTAAAGTTACAGTGTATGTGTAAAAAGTATTTTTACATTAACCCATTGTGTGCAGTAATTATATCACATGCAGTGTGGAGGATTATGTGGGAGTGAATGGGTGTGATTTTACTGTATGTTACGTGCTTTATTGGTTATTTTACAAAATCCTGTGGGCGGTACTGTATCTGTAAAACCTGCATAAAAGAAGGCCCTTTGGTGCCAAGTAAAACAGATCTTCTTGACCCTTAAAACGTAGTCTTGTCTCGTGACTGGAGGGAACTGCTATATTACACTGGGGATTGCTATGCTCTGCATACTCCCTTGAGCTTTTAATCACTTAGCTCTTCTAAGAGCTGTTCCTGATACACTCTCCTGGAGGAGAGGTCTTCCCCACACAGTCCTGGATGCTGGAGGTTCATACAGGGTGGAAGGAAGAGGTCTTTCCCACACGGTCCTGGAGGACAGAGGCTGATCCAGGGTGGAAGACGGCGAGACTCGAGTTAAGCTATGGCGGATGTGGAGTCTGCGGTGGTTGTGGTGTCCGATGCAGTGCTTGTGGTCCTCGACGCAAGCTAGGAAGCGTCCATCAACGGAAGGTACTCGGTCGGAGTACAGGGAGTTCTGTTACAGGGCATATAATGTATTATTACTAATCTGTCATGTCAACGAATCAAACTATGTTTATGTGCCTATTGTTTAATGGGAATGTAATGGATCCCCTATACTCAAGCTGAGTATGTCCGTGCAGAATCTCCCGAAATCCAAGTGTAGCAGAAGGTGTAGTGAATTATAGCTCCCAATCCTGCACAAACATTAGCCAAGACTTCATGAAGGGGTAAAACGATCTGTTTAATGATGGCCACACCTTGGCCTTTTATGCAAGTCCTCCAGCAAGGGATACTCCCACATGGACCTTGTGGAGGACTGGAACACAATTTGCAGTAGCCAATCAAAGTACAGAAACCGTAAAAATCCCTCCTCTCTATCCTGGAGATAATGGAGTTAAGTGGCCGTAGTAAACAATTATCTCCAGGTACAGAAAATATTTCCAAGTTATAAATGTAAAAAAACACATAAGTCATCAACCCCCCTGAGGCTAGGGAAGGTTCTAGATTGGGACCCCAGAAGAGACGGACTTAAACCGCAGAGCCCCACAACACGCTGAACTGACGTATACACATACCTTACCCCTCCCTCCTCCCACCCCCCCCCCACCATCCCCCTCCTTTTCTCTCTTTCATTCACAATATCGGAGGGGAACCTGGGAACCGAACCCTGCTTTCTAGCGAATTAGATAACCCCTGGCGGGTCCAGGGTCACACCACAAGGGACGAGAGACAGAGTTCCCTCCCGACCAAAACCACTACCTTAAAATATTGTATGTTACTTGACTCAGAAGGCTGTATGTTAATTACCGTTAGAGTTAGGTATAGTGCACGCTAACCACTGTTAGCTTGTTGGGACCAGAACTCGTCCTATTAAACCGGGACACAGAGTAACGGGATTACACAAAGGATGAAAAATCCCACAAAGCTATACACCACTATTGTGTTTTACGAAAATGTAACACCTGGGACGAGACGATCACACAATACCAATGTTATTGCTAAACGAAAAAACCCTTGACAAGTAGCTGGAAAAGCTAAACCCCAATGTACAAGATGTAATGCATAAGTTTTTCATAAGTCTGACATTGTTTATATGTGTTACAAATTAATGGGCTTTTGCACAAGCCATGTTGGGAATGTTATATTGCTACTTTTGTCAAGATGAAAAAATAAATAAATAAAAATTTAAAAAAAGATATACATAACTCATATTTCACCTAACTGGACCCCCACATTAGACATATCCCGAGATAGCTTGGATCAGAGCGCTCAATATTTCCGAACAGCACTCAGATCCCCTGAACACAGTCGAATTAAATGGTTAAAGGATTTTCACAGACCGTTCGGCATAAATCTGTTCAGAATTAGTTCCATGGCTTTTTGCTATCAGGGTCGGTCTAGTTTGTGAGTTATTAAGTTACCGAACGGTGTGGCGTTTGTATGAACTGAAACGAAGAGATGGAAGTTTGGAGATCCAAGCGGTGTTCGTATGAAACAGTGACTGAAAACAATTCCATGCAGTCGACGACCAAACACTGCTGGGCGTTCGACAGTTTAAGATGGCCGCCGCCGTGTCTTCGTTCATACAAACGTGACCACCCAGCCATTCGTCGATTAGTTGCGGTTAACCACAGCTTCTGGGAGGTTCACAGGCTGCACACTCCCATTGCGTGTGGTCTGGCTGTTTGTTTATTCGGTAAAATAAAAGGGATAAATAGGGCTAAATGCACGAACGGCATATGGAAAAAAGGGCACGTATATCGACAAAACAGGGGTTTGGTCACAGGTAATCTGTAGTCTTAGGAATACAAACATGTATCAAGTCATCTAGTTCCTCCCTTCCTCATACCTTCTTTATCTGGCATGTAAAGGGTTAAAAAAACAACAACATTTAGTCACTTACCCGATTCCAGCACCAATGTCCTTTGGTGCTGGGTCGGCGCTCCACCTCCTCCGATGTCACCTGACAGGGGCGCCTAATGTGCATGTAGGCATTTTACTGGAAGTGGCCTGGGTGCCTATAGTGTCCCATTAATGAGTTGTTCACAATTAGACTATAAAAATAACCAGTTGAATCTATTATTACATTTGTTATTTTTATCTAACTTTGTATGTATGAGTCGATCACACATTCCATAAAATGAACAACATGTTAATAGCTCATTTGAGCAGGACCTTCCTCACCCCCTATATCTGGCAACATAACTTTTTCTGCCAATTGCTGGTTGTGAAAAACCCACACTGTATAACTGCACTGCAGAAAATGCTGTTACTAATAACAATAATAATAATAATTTGGAAGGAGAGGGAATTTATCATTCCTTGAATAATTGGCAAGGCAGCCACATGTAGACTGAAAGTGTCAATTAGGCATATTACATCTGTACAGCAAATTGCTTTAGTACTTATTGATGACATACAGAAATTTTTTTTGTGTAGAATTTGGATAACAAAATATGGTCACAATAATGTGACAAAAATGTGTGTGTCTGCGAGACATGAATGCCCACTACACATTTGTAGCAGATATTTGTTGAAGTGATTGTGTTTCCTATTTAAAACATGCAATTACCAAGAGAGATACATTTCTGCCGATTCTCCATCATCACATCCGTCTGTCCGTCTATATAGTCCCACTCCTGCATGGAGAAATAGACAGTGACATCCTCACACCTTATAGGAACCTGATACACACAATGACACAGTCACCATCCAGACACATCCCTTGGTTATACTATATAATGTCCCATTCCCAGCAGCCTCACCTCTCTGGTCAGCAGCTCAATGATCTGATTGGTCAGTTCCAGGATCTTCTGATCATGGTTTCTCTCATGGATCAGGGAGCGAGGTGGGGGCACCGTGTTGGGGAGCTGGGTCCTGCAGGATTCTTCGGATACACATGGAATGCTGTTCTGTGTGATACGGTCACTGAATTTCTTGACAAGGACATAATGCTACATTGTGAGACAATAACACAAATCACTTGGGAGAAAAAAAAATACTTTCTATTTTCTTTGGGTAAAGTCCATCAATTAGTTAGCTGCTTTTGTCAACCAAATTTTATAAATACCTTGGGCCTCAATTTAAGCTTTCCAAATGATTTAAGAATATGAAAACATCTTAATGTTAAAATATTACTAGATAGTGCTAGGGAATTATGCAAACTTCTAAACATCTCTCACCTCTCCAGTCAGCAGGTAGATGATCTCCATACTGACATTACCCAGAATCCCTCACCTCTCCAGCCAGCAGGTAGATGATCTCCATACTGACATTACCCAGAATCCCTCACCTCTCCAGCCAGCAGGTAGATGATCTCCATACTGACATTACCCAGAATCCCTCACCTCTCCAGTCAGCAGGTAGATGATCTCCATACTGACATTACCCAGAATCCCTCACCTCTCCAGTCAGCAGGTAGATGATCTCCAGACTGATATTACCCAGAATCTCTCACCTCTCCTGTCAGCAGGTAGATGATCTCCAGACTGATATTACCCAGAATCTCTCACCTCTCCTGTCAGCAGGTAGATGATCTCCATACTGACATTACCGAGAATCCCTCACCTCTCCAGCCAGCAGGTAGATGATCTCCATAATGACATTACCCAGAATCCCTCACCTCTCCAGTCAGCAGGTAGATGATCTCCATACTGACATTACCCAGAATCCCTCACCTCTCCAGTCAGCAGGTAGATGATCTCCATACTGACATTACCCAGAATCCCTCACCTCTCCAGTCATCAGGTAGATGATCTCCATAATGACATTACCCAGAATCCCTCACCTCTCCAGCCAGCAGGTAGATGATCTCCATAATGACATTACCCAGAATCCCTCACCTCTCCAGTCAGCAGGTAGATGATCTCCAGACTGACATTACCCAGAATCCCTCACCTCTCCAGCCAGCAGGTAGATGATCTCCATATTGACATTACCCAGAATCCCTCACCTCTCCAGTCAGCAGGTAGATGATCTCCATAATGACATTACCCAGAATCCCTCACCTCTCCAGGCAGCAGGTAGATGATCTCCATAATGACATTACCCAGAATCCCTCACCTCTCCAGTCAGCAGGTAGATGATCTCCATACTGACATTACCCAGAATCCCTCACCTCTCCAGTCAGCAGGTAGATGATCTCCATACTGACATTACCCAGAATCCCTCACCTCTCCAGCCAGTAGGTAGATGATCTCCATGGTGACATTACCCAGAATCCCTCACCTCTCCAGCCAGCAGGTAGATGATCTCCATGGTGACATTACCCAGAATCCCTCACCTCTCCAGTCAGCAGGTAGATGATCTCCATACTGACATTACCCAGAATCCCTCACCTCTCCAGTCAGCAGGTAGATGATCTCCATGCTGACATTACCCAGAATCCCTCACCTCTCCAGCCAGCAGGTAGATGATCTCCATGCTGACATTACCCAGAATCCCTCACCTCTCCAGCCAGCAGGTAGATGATCTCCATGGTGACATTACCCAGAATCCCTCACCTCTCCAGTCAGCAGGTAGATGATCTCCATACTGACATTACCCAGAATCCCTCACCTCTCCAGTCAGCAGGTAGATGATCTCCATAATGACATTACCCAGAATCCCTCACCTCTCCAGTCAGCAGGTAGCTGATCTCCATACTGACATTACCCAGAATCCCTCACCTCTCCAGTCAGCAGGCAGATGATCTCCAGACTGACATTACCCAGAATCCCTCACCTCTCCAGTCAGCAGGCAGATGATCTCCAGACTGACATTACCCAGAATCCCTCACCTCTCCAGTCAGCAGGTAGATGATCTCCATAATGACATTACCCAGAATCCCTCACCTCTCCAGTCAGCAGGTAGATGATCTCCATGCTGACATTACCCAGAATCCCTCACCTCTCCAGTCAGCAGGTAGATGATCTCCATACTGACATTACCCAGAATCCCTCACCTCTCCAGTCAGCAGGTAAATGATCTCCATACTGACATTACCCAGAATCCCTCACCTCTCCAGCCAGCAGGTAGATGATCTCCATACTGACATTACCCAGAATCCCTCACCTCTCCAGTCAGCGGGTAGATGATCTCCATAATGACATTACCCAGAATCCCTCACCTCTCCATTCAGCGGGTAGATGATCTCCATAATGACATTACCCAGAATCCCTCACCTCTCCAGTCAGCGGGTAGATGATCTCCATGTGACGTGCAGAGTCCTCACCTCTCCAGCCAGCGGGTGGATGATCTCCATGTGACGTACCCAGGATCCTCACCTCTCTCCAGCCAGCCGGGTGGATGATCGCCATACTGACGTGCAGAGTCCTGCCTCTCCGGTCGGCTTGGTGGATGATCTCCATACTGACATTACCCAGAATCCCTCACCTCTCCAGTCAGCAGGTAGATGATCTCCATACTGACATTACCCAGAATCCCTCACCTCTCCGGTCAGCAGGTAGATGATCTCCATAATGACATTACCCAGAATCCCTCACCTCTCCAGTCAGCAGGTAGATGATCTCCATGGTGACATTACCCAGAATCCCTCACCTCTCCAGTCAACAGGTAGACGATCTCCATAATGACATTACCCAGAATCCTCACCTCTCCAGTCAGCAGGTAGACGATCTCCATAGTGACATTACCCAGAATCCCTCACCTCTCCAGTCAGCAGGTAGATGATCTCCATAATGACATTACCCAGAATCCCTCACCTCTCCAGTCAGCAGGTAGATGATCTCCATAGTGACATTACCCAGAATCCCTCACCTCTCCAGTCAGCAGGTAGATGATCTCCATAATGACATTACCCAGAATCCCTCACCTCTCCAGTCAGCAGGTAGATGATCTCCATAATGACATTACCCAGAATCCCTCACCTCTCCAGCCAGCAGGTAGATGATCTCCATACCAACATTACCCAGAATCCCTCACCTCTCCAGCCAGCAGGTAGATGATCTCCATAATGACATTACCCAGAATCCCTCACCTCTCCAGTCAGCAGGTAGATGATCTCCAGGGTCAGATCCAAGATCTTCTCAGCCTCCCAATTCCTGTCCATCTCCATTGTTATGGTGTTAGATTGCTCACAGACAGCATTATATGTGGACTGATCTCTGTAATGAGTGAGACATATTGGATGATATTAATTCACAGTAATAAGTATGTAAATTAAACTCTTCTATTCGGTTTCTCCTAGCTAGACTCATTCCTCCGTAGATGAATAGATTTGGAGATACAATGCTGGGGTTCTGGGTTCTCCTGTAGGTGTTCACCAGGTCTCTTTGCAGCAATATAATCCTAAACCTCGGAAAGAAAGTGTGTAATACAGAATAAATGGGGACTAGCGCCCATGCCAGGCCTTTCTCAACAACCAATGTCAAGGCAGGGCTGGAGATGTTCTGTTATGGGAAAGTGTCATTGTGATCACAGCATTAATACATTACAGATCCCCCTTATATCACCCAGAGCCATTCATTGCTGCAATAAATCTGTATTTTATTCCTATAGTCTGTACTGAGACTGGACCCAGCCCTGAACGTACATTACACACAGCCTGGGCAGGAAACCCAGCTCTCCAGCTCCCCACGCTCTCACTTAAAGGCTTTCACACAATTTCCGCTTCCACTTCTTTTCCGGGTTTTGCGTTTCACCGTGAATTCATTTCTCTTCCGGGTTTTGCGTTCCACCGTGCAGTCTATTTCACTTCCTGGTTTTGCGTTCCAATGGACTTCCTGGTTTTGCGTTCCACGTCTGTTTGTTGCTCACTGCAGTTTGAGCTGGAGGTGGGGAAAGAGGGGTTGAATAGTTATTTCCTTGGGCTGTTTAGTGGGAATGGAGGACCAAGCTAAGAATATTTTAGTTGACAATCAATGAGAAGCTGAAAATAATTGTATTATGGCTTCTTTTATTTATTTAATACATTTAATAATACCACATTCAAAAAAAATAAGACAAAAGAAAATTAGAAATCGTTTATTTTGCCCTAAAATGTGCCTGGTATGAAGATGTATTTTTAGAATAATATACAGAACAAAAAACACACAATAATCAAAACCCCTCAGTATTACCTGACAAAGTAGATCAGCCGCATCAGAACCAGGATAACGTGTACGATCAGGGTCTTATTATATAATACAGTGCAACCGGTCTCACTTTCTATGTTCTCCGAGCAAATAAACGGTTAGAACTTATCTTTTTCTCGTTTTATTTGTTTTGTGAATTTTCATTTTGTGCATATTTTTTCCGTATTTGTAATTTTTGTATTTTTTTCTCCTCTTTGCATCTAGTTTTTTCAATAATTTTTTGGCTCTGCGTACGACAATGTATTATAGCAATTTACATTCAGGTCTCACACAAACCATCAAGCCCTTATTAGGAACTCATTTATCTACATTAGTGGATTTATATTGTTCATTTAACATGTTATACAACTGTGGCTTTGTGAAATTGCAGATGCTACTCTCATCATGATTTGTAGGTAATTTATTTTAGAGAGATATTGCTGTATAGATTTTTTTCTCCTGTCTCATACCTCACCCCTCTGTCAGTCCTTACACTGGCTTCCTGTATCCTATGTAGGAGTCAATTCAAAGTGCTAACCCATACCTATAAAGCAAAATAAAAAGTTACCTGCGCTCTCTCCCAAATCCCTATGTATTGTGATGGGATTCCAGCATGGTCAAAATTTAGTAGGCCAAGTTTTCCATGTGGCATATGTGTATGTTGTGTCAGTTGGTTAGCTACATGTAGCTAGGATACTGTCATCAGTGTACTGAGCATGTGCAGGAACTGAAATTGCACTTATTTCCTTTGTCTTGGATGAGCCATGTGGTTTGACTAGATGTACAAGTCTATATTCTGCTTACTGATTGGTCTGAAGAATATAGGAGGGGTTATACTGTATGGGAGGAGATATGCAGTTAACAAAAGTCCCAAGCCACAGGTATATGTCTCTCAGAATGTTGGAACAGGAGTTCATCTGAGACCCGATCGGTAATGTGAATAAAGGCCTCTTACTTCCTGAAGACTTGTGTCCAATATCTCTGTGTTTGGCTTCTGCATGCTTACACTGCAACATCTCTGGTGCATTGGCGGCCGGGAACCTCATTTGCATGGAAGCTGGCGCAGAGATTTGAGACGGTAAACTTTTACCAAATCCTCTACGCTACAATCCTGGACTTCTACTGCGTGGACCTCCTTTCGTCTCGGCGCCACTGGCCTTTTGTCCAGGAGATCATCGGCTTCTGCGCAGTAAGTCCCGGATTGTTCCGTCTATGAGTGAACCCAGGTCCAGGAACTAACAGGTAAGATTGATACCGTTAGAGCGGTAGACCCACAAGGGGTTTTATATTTGGAACCGGTTATTGGAATCTGCCTGTCCTAAGGGATGGAAGAAGCAACGGCGCACTGCTTATCTGGACATTAGACGCTCTGTAGTCAGTCCGTCTAATATAGGTGGTATTGTCAGACTGAGTTCTGGTGTAAATAGCTCATGTCGGACACCGGTGTCCTGTCTTGACTAGCGTATCTAGGGTGTAAATTTTGTTCGCTAGGTCGGGGGGACCGGGAGACTAGCATACTCTGTTGTATATTATAGTTTGCTAGATTTCACCCTATCTTAAAGGACCACTCTAGGCACCCAGACCACTTCAGCTTAATGAAGTGGTCTGGGTGCCAGGTCCTTTTAGGGTTAACCCATTTTTTTATAAACATAGCAGTTTCAGAGAAACTGCTATGTTTATGAATGGGTTAAGCCTTCCCCCTAATCCTCTAGTGGCTGTCTCATTGGCAGCCACTAGAGGCGCTTGCGTGCTTCTCACTGTGATTTTCACAGTGAGAGCACGCAAGCGTCCATAGGAAAGCATTGTAAATGCTTTCCTATGCGACGGGCTGAATGCGCGCGCAGCGCTTGCCGCGCGTGCACATTCAGCCCAGGAGGAGGAACGGAGGAGGAGAGGAAGCAGAGAGCTCCCCGCCCAGCGCTGGAAAAAGGTAAGTTTTTAACCCTTTCCTCCTTCCAGAGCCGGGCGGGAGGGGGTCCCTGAGGGTGGGGGCACCCTCAGGGCACTATAGTGCCAGGAAAACGAGTATGTTTTCCTGGCACTATAGTGGTCCTTTAACTAAGTGTGCTCTGTTGTAAATCCAGCCACTAGATTATTGATGGTTTCATAGACTAGCTGGGTACTGTGTAAATTCTGCCTTCTAGTTCGCTATACGTGGTGTCTGGGTAGCGAAGAACTTATCGAATCTCTGGTGTATAAATAGATCGAAAGCTCTCGAGGTGCTGGCCAGTTAGAATAGTTGGGATTATTGTAAATGTTGTTAAATATATTGTAGTTGGTGAATTGGTTAACTTGTATGTCCTACTAGAAAGTTAGAGCTCTGCTGTCTAGTGGGAGTGTAAATTGTGTGTATAACTGTAAAATAGCACACGGTACCATAACTACTGACATGTACCATAACCACTGACATTGTGTAAAATTACTAACAATTGCTGTTTTATGTTATATGTATAATACCATAACTGTTACTAACTGATCTGTGACTTTAAAACTGTATTATAACCACTTACTAACTGTACCATAACCACTGACTGTAAAGATGAGGTTACTAGAATGTGATATAGTTGGTTAGTCAAAAGTTGATTTATAGTACGGATAATTGTAGAGATGAATTTGTTGAAATGTTATGTGATCGGTTAGTTTATATAGATTAATAGCGTGGATAGTTGTATGGTTTGAATAATAGTTACATTGATAAGTGTATAGTCTTTGGTGGGTTTTTGATTTAATTTCGTGTGTGCGACGTCGTGATATTGTTGAGCATGTGAGGATCCTGTGTGTGTGTTTGGGCCTAGTAACTGCGCAATGTGTTGCTGGTGATAAGGAGATTGGTGTGACTGTTGAAACTGTGTGTATATTTGTACAGCTTTTTGAATCAGACGTTCTGTTGAAATAATCTGATTCACTAGGCTGTTAGTCTTTTGTCTTGTATGTTTTAAAAAAAAAAAAAAAAAAAGTAGGGAGTAGCCTGTCCTGGTGGCCGCATGGCCTCCATG